TTTTCACAAAACCCCACAGCCCTCCGTTTATCTAGAGTGACTTCCATTCATCCTGGCTCTCTGTTTCTCAATAGAGGCACCACTGGCATTTTCCAGTGCAGCTGCATTGTAGGGCATTCACATTGTGGCTTCTGCCCCTGAATGCCACTTGTGTCCCCACCCCCAAGATTGTTGCAATTATCAAAAATGCCCCACACATTTCCAAAGATCCCTAGAGGGTTGAGAGGGTTGGTGCTTCCCACTGAAAGGACTCACTGGCTGTCTCTCCAAGGACAGGCCCTGCCAAACTCCATCAAAACTTCCTTAACTGATTAAGCCAAAGTATAAGCATCCATGATGCACAGTGGGGGTGGAGCACTGAGGGGTCTGAGGGGGCCGAGGGGCAGGGTTCTGGCACAAAAGCTGCTCTCAACTCCAGGCCTCCCTGGCCCAATAAAGGCTGTTATTTAGAAATACCTGAAATGTATGGGAAAGGTATCTCTTCCCAGATTCCTCTTTGTTTTGCAATTCCACTTTAGGATAAGAGGATTAGGAACTTCCTTGGTTCTCTTGTCTTTTATTTTGAGATTAGTTGCAGCTCTCTGTGATGACTGACCTTGGTGAGCGGGGCCTCCAGAGAACAACAGTCAACTGGCTCCCCACCCCCATCTCCACTTGTCAGCCCCCTTCATCAGATCTCTCAGATAATAACTGCCTTCTTCTTCCCTCCTGTCACAGTTGAAATTGTGTCCCCCAAAATCCATATGTTGAAGTCCTAACCTCCAGTACCTCAGAAAGTGACTGTGTTTGGAGATTGAGCCTTTAAAGAGGTAATTAAGTTAAAATGGGGTCACTAGGGTGGGTCCTAACCCAATATGACCAGTGTCCTTATAAAAAGAGATTAGGATATGGACACACACAGAGGGAAGATCATGTGAAGACACAGGGAGAAGATGGCCATCCATAAGCCAAGGGGAGAGTCCTCAGAAGAAACCAACCCTGCAGACAGCTTTATCTCAGACTTTCGGCCTCCAGAACTGTGAGAATAGATTTCTGTTGTTAAGCCCCACAGTCTGTGGTATCTTGTAATGGCATTCCCACCAAACTCATACACCTTCCTTCCTTTCTGCATTTAATAATTCAATGATTCACCCCTGACATATTTATCCATAGCCCATGCATGTGCTGGGCCCTGAGTAGGAATGGGTTTTCTAGGGCTCAGTACTCAGCCCTTCTCTCGTCTCAGAGAACTAACTGGACGTGGACAAGAGCATTCCTTCCCACAGCCTCTCACAGAGGCTTGGGGATGAATTAGTTGTCTTTCTCTGGCTCCCCCCTCACAGACTTTGAAATCCAACATTTTTCTTAGATCTTCTGTCAATAATATTGGACATATTAGAATATGCAGCCACTTCCTCCAAATCTACTCTTCCCCTAGTGGTCCCTTGCTCTGTGATTCCTGAGGGACACTGTGGGGGAGCAGAAGCTGTCCTCTACCTTCAAGTTTATTTTGGTTGGTCTAATAGACATGAGACTGATTAGCAAGAGAAAACAACCACACTTAATACATACACAGGGATGGGAACCCCACATGCACGAGAGGTTCAGAGACAAAAAGGGGACATGGGTATATAAGACATCCTGAACTAGGGATAGGGAAGGTGCCTTGGGGGATTCAAAGGGTCACTGCAGGATGATAAGAGTAGATGCTTAGTAAACAGAAATTTGTCCTGCCCTATAGATAGGTCAAGTGAGATATCTCTGATAATCTATCAGTATGGGCAAGGCCCCTAATTCAAGTTCTTCCAGGTAATCAAAGAAGGGGAAGAAGCTTCTCCCGAGCCCACAGCTAAAGTTGCCATTAGCTCAAAACAATCCTCATACCATAGAAGCACACATTGGGGTGACAAGCTCTGAATCCCACAAAACTTTGTGGCACCTCCCATCTTTCAGAGACATCAACATCATTGGGACAAAGTACAAACAGCCTGGTCAGTCATTGGAGGGCCTCTGAGACGTTGTTCCTGTCTGTTCCTCCATTCATTTCTCACTCACTGGACAACTGGTCTCGGTCTCCAGAAGCCATCTACGGGACTTGAAGGTCCTGTATCTTTTAGCCTCTGTGCTTTGATATATGTTGTTCTCTTCCTTGGAACAAGCCTCCCACTCTCTGCCTTCAGGACTCTCCCAGCATCCTTTAAGATTCAGTTCAAGGGCTATCTTCACTATAAATGTTTACAGCATGACTAGGAAGAGGCAGTACATGTGGCCTCCATTGTGGTCAGTGATATAGATAACCTGTTCAGTTCTTAATTTCTCCCTCATTTCAACCCCTTCTATCTGGAGTCTTCTAGAATCTGGGGGCCATTTCTTTTTGCATCCAGCTAGCCTGCAGAGTCTCTGACACCAAGCTCACTATCGCTGCTAAGTTTTTAGAATGACCCCAGTTTATCAGGGTCACCACTGTGGTTGGTTTGGAGAAGCTATTTCTATCTAGATATACAGTCAGGCTTACAGCTTCACATTTCCTGAATTTTATGGGACAAACTAATCCACTCTACTACCCTTCCCAGTTGTGTAGTGGAAAGGTGCTGCAGGTTTCATGAAAGGTCCACCGTCGGTGGCTCGTGGCTTTTCCTAATTGGATGGATGTGTCCTCTGTAACTGATCTCTTCTCTCTCATCTCCTCCCCATCAGTCATAAGTGAAGCTGGTGAGTGAAGGCAGGGGGCGGGCAAAGGCCCCTGCTATTACAATTCAAGGCAACTGAAATACTAGGTTTCACTGGGGTCATTGACTGTGTCCCTCTGGGGACTGGATATATTTCCTCTTCGTGTGTCATGCAGCAAAGGTCTTACCAAGATGGTCCGGTAGATTATTTAGGAAGCTGAAAATTGCTGAGAGCACATAGCTGCAAACAGAACAATGTCATGTATCACAGACCTGCAAGAAAAGCACTTTCCAGCCCCACATCTCCAGCACAGCACCAGTTTTGGCAATGAGAAAAGCAAGATAAAGGGTGGGCGTTTAGGTCTAATGCTAGGTTGAATGTCTGCTCAGTTCTGCAAGGAGACAGATATTAAGAGATGACACAATGACCAAAGCAGAATTGGCTCCTCCACGTGTGGTCAACATGTATAAGGGGCCCCTTCACTTTCCACCAACTGGGAGAGTAAACTGCATACACAGGGATTGAGGTGGGAGGTCATGGAGGACAGCAAACAGTCCTGCCACTTCCTTAGCTCCCTGCCCTGGTGCAGCCATGTTGACATGCCAGTTTACACATGTCACCTTCATCAGGAAAATGAAGTTCAGAGGACTCACAACTGTTACCCAGGGTGGACGCCGGCTGGCCTTTAAAACTAGCTCTCCTCTTCTGGTATGAAGCTGAATTCCCAGCTCAGACACTTCATGGCCCAGCCCTGGACAGGTCTCTGGTCTTCTTTGAGCCCGAGTTTACTAATCTATAAAATGGAGCCTGGAACTGCACAGGGATGGGTTATGAGGATTGGTTGCTCACACGTGCAAAGTGGTTTCCAGGCTCTGGTCTGGAAGTCTCTTAGGGATGTTTACATTCCTGGGCTGGAGGATCCAGCTTGACACCAGTTTTTGCCTCACTTCTTGTCTTTGGCATCAGATTCAGGGACCTTGCAGCCAGCTCACCATGGACTCCTTGGGTCCTTTCACCAGTCTGGCTGGGAAGTAGGGCTACTCCCTTCAGTCTGGCTGCCTTGATGGTCAGCCCATTCTCTGCAGGACCTGCTCCGTGTGAGGGTCTCCTAACTGGAAGTGCCTTACGGGGACTATAGGTCCCAGGGCCCCAGGAAGTGCCTGGGATTTGGAGAAATCACAAAGGCTGTACCCACTAGCCTGGGCTGCAGGGGTAGACAGTTTCTCTGGGACATGCCCTGGAGCGCAACACCAGTGGGCAACACTACCTCTCTCTATGCCTTCCCCTCCCTCCTCACCGCCCCTAGAGGGAAGGAGGTGGGGACCCTGTTCTCCTCTTCCAAGGACCAGTCTCAAGCAGGGCTCTACTTTTCTGGAACCCTTCAAAGATCTCCCCTAAAACACACACACAAAACATAGTTAATGTATGCTGTTCTTGCTCTGAAGATCCTGGACTAACACATCTGTCAGGCTCAGACCCCAAATTTAGAATCATGGTGAAGACATCAGGCATTGGCTCAGAGTGACCTGGGCTGAGTAGCATTGTCACTACTCCCTGACTGTGTAACTTAGTTCAGCTCTTTCATCTCTCTGCTTCCTTATCTATAATGATAATACTAATGATAGCTGACATTCTTGGGCCTTAACTGGAATTGTCTCACTTGATCTTCTTACACACCACATAAGGGACACGTCCATTTTCCCATTGTACAGATGGAGAAAACTGAGGCATATGGAGATTAAGGAGCTGTCACAGCGTCTCAGAGTGCCAAGAGTCAGTAACATGGTACTAAGTGCCTAGCCCATGCTGTGGCTGAGGGCACCCTAAGTGGTCATTATTTTTAATAGCGTCCACACACTCTGAACTTGTCCGTTCTCAGTTTTGCAAGGGTCCCCCTTGCTGACACCCTCCAATGCCCAATTCAGAGCAGCAGAAGAGGACTTCTCCCTCAATGGCTCCTTGACTCACAAAGGTCTCTGTGGATGCATGGCAAGGGTCCACTGGTCAGCAGGTGAGCCTCACATGGGGGCACGCTCCAAGAGGTTCTCCCTTTAGTAGTAACTGTGTCTGAGATTCAAACAGACCACAGATCCCAACGCAGCTGTGTATTCCCGGTGCCCAGCCATCAGCTCTCAGAACCTCGGTTTTCTCATCTGTGCAATGGGAATGGTGAAAAGGAGACATTCACAGGCTGCAAGGGAATGCTCACAGGGGTATGAGACAAGGGTGCGCACTTGCCCAGGGCGGCCGAGGGGCACCCTGAAGCCAGGCCCAGGGGGCGGGCCGCCCAGGGGCGGGCCGGGGCTGGGCCAGGCGCGGGGCGGGCTGGGCGGCGAGGCCCGGCGGGCGGCGGCGCGACTCCGCGTCACAGCGCCGGGCGGCGGTGGGGAGATGCGGCTGCTGGCACTGGCGGCGGCCGTGCTGCTGGCGCGGGCTCCGGCCCCGGCCCTGGGTAAGCACGGCGGACCGGGCGGGCGGCGGCTCCGGGACCCCGCGGGCGGAGTGGCCGGGGCTCGGGCTCGGGGCTCGGGGCTCGGGACTCGGGCCTGGCGGGGAGGCACTGCCACCTCCGGGCTGCTCTCTCCCTGTGCGCACCGGCGGGCCCGGGTCTGCGCTGTCCCTGCCGCCGTGAGGTTGCCTGGCAGAGGGCTCGGGCGGCGCCCCCATCCTTCCCTCCTCAGCCGGGGCCCCATCGCTGCGCAGAGAGGCTCAGAACAGACCCTTTCCAAGGGCCAGGCCTTGAAGTGGAAGGTTTAAGCCTGAACGCGGGAGCCCTAGTTGTTGGCTTGTTTTCTTTTTTCTCCACAGCAGTCAGGACCCACAACTTTTGGCAGGTTAGTCTGGGCAGCAACTTCCCTTTAACTCTTCGGAGCGCTGCTTAGCCAACCCATTCAGGAGGGGCTGGATCTCCAGGCTGGTGTTAGAGACTGGGGACATGTCCGTCGGCGGTTTGCTGATGACCAAGCCTGGTGAGATAGGGTATCCAGGGCTGGATGAAGTGGGGCCGTTGCCAAAGCACCCTGCCTTAGGCGCAGCCCCTACCCACACTGCTGGCTTTCAGTTCGGGGCTTCTGCTCACTTCTAAGTTGCAGAAGAATTTCCCCTATTCCTTAGGGCGCCGCCTGCCTGCCTCAGGGCTGAAAGGGCCTAGCTGGCCAGAATAATAGTAAAAAGTGTGTCAGTGCCTCCCAGGTTTTCTGGGAGCCTATTGGGTGTCAGGTATAGTACTGCATTATTCTCTCATTTAATTACAAGTAATTACAAGTAACACTTCCAAGTAATAATGATAAGAGCAAACACTTGTATATCCTGGTGCTTTGCAAACATTAACTCAGTTAAACTGCAAGTAACCTCTCAGGGAGGTGCTATTATTGTCCCCATTTTGTAGATGAGGACACTGAGGCACAGGACCATGAATTGACTTGCCTTAAGTGGTGGTGCTGGGATTTGAACCCAGGCAGGCTGTCTCTAGACTCTGTGCTCATACTGGCTAAGCTGTATTTTCGTTGTTTTGTAAGCAAGAAAGATGATTCTCAGAGTTAAGTAATTTTCCAAGGGTGACCCAGCTACCAAGCGATGGAGCTGGCCTTGGAGCCAGCCTAGGTCAGATTCTGAGGAAGAGTAACTTGGATCATCACGGTGGGAGGAAATTCACCCCTTGTCCCTGGCTACCAGCGGGATTTGCAGAGAACCTGAAATCAGCACTGTGGGAAATACTTCTTTCACCATTGTCATGGTCTTGGCTGACAGACAATGGCCGCAGGTCTGACTGGGATGGTTGAGCCAGGCCAGCTCTGGTGGCTTGTGTGGAGTGGCCAGCAGCCAGTGGGGACGCAAGGGGGCACAGGAGTCTTTGTCCCCCAGGCTCTATAACCACTTTCCTAATCGTAGGTGCTGTCAGAGAGGGTGCCCCCCAGAGAGCAGCTTTTTGGGGGTCAAGTACATTCTCATGTTTCCAGGAGACCTCAGGGCCTCGAGAGCTGGAATTTGGGATTCTTTAGAGTCTGCCCCAGGCCATGCCTTGGATAATGATGACAGCACCTGCTTGTGCAGCACTCGCCATGTGCCACCCATTCTTCTAAGTGTTTCACCCATGCTTCTTTGTCACCATCCCCCAAGGAAGGGCCTGGCAGAGCTACTTTATACAGAAGTCTGGACTCCTGAACTTTTTTACCTCTTTATTTTGGGGCAGAACAGGACCTTAGCCATCACCTGGTCCTACCTCTCATTTTACAGAAAAACAAACCAAGGGGCAAAGTATTTACTAGAAGCCAAGCTGTCATGTAAAATGGTGGTTGAGAATTGGCTCTGAGGCCAGGTGGCCTAGGTTCGAATTCCAGCTCTGCCATGTTCTTTGTGAGTTTGAGCAAGCAACTTAGCCTCTATGGGCCTCAGCCTTCTTGTCTATAAAATGGGGTAAACATAATATGAGGATCAATTGGGGAAATATTGAATACATCTCAAGTGCTTAGAATGGTGCTTGGCATGGAGTTCACACCCAGCAAATGTTAGCCCTTATCGTTGGTCAAGGCCTTGTGTTTGTCCTGGATGAGAGCTGTTTTCAGGTGATGGGCTTATTATGAATGCATTACCCCATAGTCTAGGTCTGGTAGCACTTCTACTTGGTGCTCAGTAAGCTCTGGCTCCTAGGGCCATGGGTTTTTAAGTAATGCTATTGTATGATTTTCAGAGCTTTATTTGTCATGAATTCAGACTATCTATTTAATAAGAATGAGATTTTTGCTGACGAGTGGTACCCACAGTTTGCATTTCTTATAAGTGTAGAGGCTCCTGGCTCCCTGAAGTGAGTGGGGCAGGCTCCTCAGGACAGAGAGGTGTGGAGCGAAGAACCATTAGTACATCACTGGCCAGGTTGGAACAGAGGGACCCGGGCCGTGCCTATCTCTGTGTCCCAGGCAGGGCCAGTGCCTTGTTTCTGTTAGAAGTCCTGCCTTCCCCCGCATCTGGAAGTTGCCATCCTCCACCTCACGATGAGTAGGAGAGGTAAACAGAGAGGATGAAGAGTGGTTGTGTGCTATGTGAGTAGGTTGCACACTATTTGACTACACTATTTGATGTCCTTTTATGCTGTTTTCTGACACCATACAAATGGGAACAAGAAGTTTAGGTCCCATCAATCTTATCTGCAGGAATTTAATGTTTGCTCACAGGCAGAACCAGATACACAATTTGTGGGATTCAGTGAAAAATGAAAATGTGGGGCCTCTTACTCAAAAATTATTAAAACTTCCAGAGAGCAACAGCAGAGCTTAAACCAAGGTGGGCGTCCCCTTCAAGCGTAGGGCCCTGTGTAACTACAGGTTGTACACCCAGGAAGCCCACCTGAGTACACAGGTCAGCATGTGAGTCGCTTTCTATTGCCCCTACCTGCCCATCTCTCAGGGCATGCAAACTACTATCGGTATTTTATTGGAGCTTTACCCTCACCATGCAAGGCTCATCTTCCCATTTTTCAGATGAGGAAACGGAGGCTCTGAGAGCCTTACTCCTAATAGAACCATTATTCCAACACCGCTTTGTTGAATGCTAACTCCTGGCTCTCTGCCCAGCCCCACCAAGCCACTGGGAAGGCCTGGGGTCATGAGCAACCCGAGGCCCACCCCTCATGGGGCACCCAGGGCTCCCAAGTAACAGAGCCCGTGCTTATTGAAGGAACAACGTTTCCTGCAGCAGAATCCTGTCACTCTGTTTGGGTCAGTCTGTCCCCTGCCCATGTTGTTATATTCCTCCTTTAAGAATTGCCCGTGGAGGCCCTGATTGTGGTGGAAAGTCCCTTCCTGAAGTTTATCTGTAGACACTGGTGCCTGCCTGGGTCGGGGGCAGTGGACTTCACTAGAGGGTTCTGATCTCTGGATTTCCAGCTTGCACCAGGTGCATCCTGCCTCAGGGTTTTTGCACAGGTAGGACCCACTCCCAGGAAGGTGATTCCTTGCTGCTGCCCTGAATTTTATATCATTAACTGCAATTCACCCTTCAGCTCACGGTTACCTCCCCAGGGTCTCTCCCCTAACCCTGTAGACGAGATCAGGATCCTGGTCTGATTTGCACCTGCACCTTTTCTCTGAAAATGTTTGTCGTCACATACTCCTGTGCCTTTTTCCTGCTAACCAGCTTCCTTGTCCACTGGGCTGAAGGCTCACTGAAGTTAGGAACACCGTCTTCTTCACACAGTGCCCTGCACAGGGCTGTCACTCAGCAAGTGTTTGTTGAGCGATTAAGTGAACAAAGCATAAGCTGGGGCATAGGCTGGGGGAAGTTGAGTGCGGAGGTTCCCGGAGGGAGTGGGAGGGTCTTCCTCTCACCTCAGTTTCCTGCAATGCAAGGCCACAAAGCAAGCAATTTAGTTCTTCTCTGGACCAGAATGACTTGGACAATTCTCCCTCCTAGGCCTGGAGAGGGGTATCTCTGCTCTGCCTGGGGCTGCTCCCTTACCTTACCTGGTATAAGAGGCTCTAGTAACACCCATCCTCCCCTGTCCTGTAGCTGGCTTGGCCCAGTTTTACTTGGCTTGCTTCATGTCCTGCAAAGTGTGTATACTCTGTGTCCTCTCTTGTTATTGAGACCCAGAAGAAAAAGGCCTCGACCCCTACGGACACCGCCTACCTGCATACTTACGTATTGCCCTTGCTCGCCATGGTCCCGATGCCCACTGCTAGGTGGAGCATGAGCTGTGTCCCTCTCTCCTAGTACTTAACTAAACATCCAGCTGAGCTAACATTAGCCAGGCACTGGGTCCTCTGCCTGCATTTTCTCCCCTCCCTCCCGGGGTGCACATGAGCTGTGAGGTAGGCAACTCCAGTGCTTAGAGGTGTGTGTTACCTGGGCACCTGGCCTTCTGAGAAAACTTATCACAGGTGTGGGGAGCCCCACAGTCTGAGAGCCTGTGTCCTCTGGAAGCCAGCTGCTGCATCCCTGCTGCTTTCTGCCTTCTGAACTCTTGGGCAGCTGTTGGAGTGGGGTCAGCTTGGTGTTCTGGCTGTGTTGCTGCTCACCAGAGAGCAAAGATTTAAGACTCCAGGGGGCTCTGGAGCATGGCAGTTTCAGTCACCTGCCCTTCCACTCCCCCAAACCCTCCTGTTGAAAGTGGGTGTAACTGTTTGGGTCGGTGGCAGATGTACAGCTGAAATGAGCCTTCCTGTGAACAAGGTTGTGTTGGTTTGCTAGGGCTGCGTAACAAAGTACCATAGACTAGGTGGTCTAAACAGCAGACATGTGTTGCTCATAATCCTGGAGACCAGAGGTCTGAGATCAGGGTGCCGGCAGAGTTGGTTCCTTCTGAGGCCTCACTCCTTGGCTTGTAAATGGCTGTCTTCTCCCTGTGTCCTCTCACATGGTCTGGTCTCTGTGTGTCTGTGTCCTAATGTCCTCTTTTTATAAGGACGCCAATTGTGTTGGATTAGAGTTCACCCTAATGGCCTCACTTTAACTTAATCACCTCTTTAAAGGCCCTGTCTCCAAAGACAATCACATTCTGAGGTTCTGGGGGTTGGGATTCAGTATATGAATGTAGAGGGGACACAGTTCAGTCCATAACAAGGGTCTTTGCACTTCAGTGGGAGAAACACGCTGGAGCCATTTGTGAGAGAATGTGGAGCTTGCTGAAGGCAGAGACGTGTACAGGTAAAGAGGAGAGGAGGGTTTGTCTTGGAAAGATGGTTCAGTCCCTGCCCTTTCGTGGGAACTGTGGATTCCTGGCCTGAGCTGCAGAAGTGAAAGGGTTACTAGTTTGCCTCCAGGATGGAATCTGGCCTCCCATGGGGACCGGAGCACTTGGCACATTCTCCTGGTTTCAGTCACTATAAGTAATTCCTCCTTCATGCAGTGTTAATAGGAGGAGATGGGTGTGCTGGCAGGCTGTGCTCTCATCCCACCCATATTGTTTCAATTTCCTGCCGTCCCCAGCTTTCCTTGTCTCCAGTGGGAAGTCCTTGGGGGCGGGTGGAGCTGGACTTCAATTCTGAAAGCCAGCTGCTGCATCTCTGCTGCGCTCTCAGCTGTTGGAGTGGGGTCAACCTGGTGTTCTGGCTGTGTTGCTGCTCACCAGGGGGCTCCCAGCATGGGGGCTTTCAGACAGGGCCTTAGTGGTCAGGGAAAATGCTGTGGGACTAATTTAATATGGCTTATGGGCCAGGTGGGTAACAGGCAGGGGAGACAGTGGGAGCAATTTCTCTCTCTTTGTCCTATGTGAGTGCCTTGCATGGACAGTGAGATTGTTAGATTGTTACTAGAGAGCATGTGTCTTCCTTGGTCACCTGTTGATCTACATACTCCGAGTAGCTCCCTGGGCTGGCTTTGTCCTTTGTCACTGTCGACAGAAGACCTCATTCTTGTCCACAAGCTGTTTAAAGTCCACTGAGCATCAACCTTTTTCTTCTGAATATACTTCCATCTATTTTGTTAAGGTAATTAAAGACTATCACAGTATGGTAAGCTGAATAGTGACCCCCAAAGATGCCTGTGTCCTAATCCCTGAACCTGTGAATGCTACATTTTGTAGCAAAAGGCACTTCCTGATGTGATTAAGTTAAGGGCCTTGGGGTATCCTGGAGTATACCCTGGTGGGCCTGGCTTCTCAAAGATGGGAAAGAAAATGAAAGAACATTGACCTTCAAGTCATATCTCTCAAGTGTTCAGTTATTAAAACAATAGTGGGAACCATACAAGAGGATGAGCTTATTGGCTGGACTTTTACAATGAAGAATATTTTTATGTTTCACCCCCACCCCACCCAACACACACAGGGCTTCACCTTGTTGACTCAGCCTCTTCACAGTGTAAGGTTCAGATCTCTGATCTCTTTGTCATACTTCTTCTGATTACCCGCAGCACTGACCAAGGTTCAGAGCTTTTGGTGATTCTGGCATAAGGGCCCAAGCCCTTTCCTGTGACCAGGTGATATTTGGGGGACATTCGTGATTTGGGGTGACTTGAGGACACCTGCCTGTGCAGTGGGGTGGGCAGGGAATGGTGTTTCCTAGAGTTGTGCACTGGGTGTCACATAGGTGAAGATGGGGGACCCAGTGAGAAGACAGCTCAGCTTGGACAGACGAGGTTCTGGGCATCCTGGGCAGAGTCCTTCCTGGGCTCTGCCTGCCAGGGGAAGGTGCTGCCCACAAGCTCCAGGGCAGCCGGGCTGTCCTGTGCCACCCGGAAGGGCAGCCGTGGGGTGGATCTAACTAAGAAACTGAAGGACAGGAAGCAGTGGACAGGGCCTGAAATTCTGGAGCACCTTTTGGGGGGTCGGGAGGTCCTCTAGCCCCTGGGCTCGATCATGCTCTATTCCTGCCCTTCAGCTCTGAGTCCAAAGAGACTTAGAACAAGAAACTGAGACAGCCCTGCGGTTCTAGCTCCTGGTACTAGTTTAACTCATGCCTGACTGGTGCTGAGAACCTGCCTTGGTGACAGTTAAAATGGCTGAGACAGGGAAAGGGGCTTAGACAGGCAGCTCCTGGACCCATAGCATTGTCCACTCAGGCAGGTGGTAAAACTGACCCATGCAGGCCTTAGGGAAGTGGACGGAGGGCTGGGAATTTTCAAAAGATTCCAAAAATCCAGATTTGTATGTGAAATCTCCTGAATTTAGACATCAGCAACTAATTTAAAAACATTAAAAAAAAATACCTCTGGCCAGGTGGTCAGTGGCATTCCATGTGGATGGGTCTCATAGAAGAGGACACGGGCTCCCACAGAAGCTCTCCCCAGAAGGAGCCCTCTTTCTGGCCATCATGAAGGCAGAGAGTGGGCATGGAAGGGTGCGGCAGCCTAACTCTCTGGCCATGCAGATCACACCAGCTCCTGGAGAAAAGACACACCTGTGGAAATGCAGTGGCCTTCCTCACTTTCTTCCTTTTATCTCTGCAGAGGTCTGTGGGGCCCTCAATGTCACCGTGACCCCGGGGCCTGTGGTGGACTACTTGGAGGGGGACAATGCCACTCTTCTCTGCCACGTTTCCCAGAAGAGGCGGAAGGACAGCTTGCTGGCCGTGCGCTGGTTCTTTGCGCGCCCCGACTCCCAGGAGGCCTTGATGGTTAAGATGACCAAGCTGCGTGTGGTACAGTACTATGGGAATTTCAGTCGCAGCGCCTACCGGCAGAGGCTGCGCCTCCTGGAGGAGCGGCGGGGGGCGCTTTACATGCTGTCTGTTCTGACCCTCCAGCCAGCCGATCAGGGGCATTACGTCTGCAAAGTCCAGGAAATCAGCAAGCACAGGAATAAGTGGACAGCCTGGTCCAATGGCTCCTCAGAGACAGAAATGAGAGGTAAGTGCATCCACTCTCTGCGGAGAGGCGTGGGGGACAAGTCAGTGGTCCTCCCTGCCGTCGGCCTGGCAGGGACCTCCAGATGGTCCCACTGGGCTAGAACATACCTCCTGAGCTGTTAAGGGCCATGGCCATATGAGACAGGCCATGGGGGTGAGGATAGACCTTTCCGTGGATGCTGAACTGATATGTAGTGTAGACATGGAAGCCAGGACAGAAAGGAGCACAAGCCTGTCCTCATGTTGCCCAGCCTACTCTCTGGGCCAAACCTCCTTCGAGTCTGAAAGATGGGACTGGCTGTATGCTGTGCCTCCAGTGCAGATCTGTGCAGCCTGATTGCTTTGTGGTGCCAGGCACCCACGGGAGGAGACACGCATTGGGAGGTCCTGGTGTCAGTTGCCAGGCCTTGGAGCAGGGAAGACTGTTGGCTCAGATCTGTTGCCCAAAGGGACTGATCCAAGACTCGTGTTATAACAGCTCACTGAGAAATTCACCCAGAAGTGGGCAGAGGAGACAGGTAGGAGCTATGGGCCGCGTTCTGCAACACCTTAGCTACCAAGTGCCGTAATTGAAAGTTGTCATTTTTTATCATAAATGTTCTATTCAGGAAGATACGGCTCACAGTTTTAAGACTTGCTATTGTGTGCTGAAAGTACATCTTTGATTGCTTTGAGTTTTGTCTGGCACAAGATCAAGAGGATCATAAATTAAAGCTGATAGTCCCCAATATGAAAAAGAATCTAATTTTATTATATACATGTATACAATATTAAAGGCATTAGTGGTGTTTTGGTAAGCTTTTTTTCAATGGGTAAAACTCAGTAGTGAAAGTATCTTTAGTATCCTATGTGAATAAGGGGCATGTTAAAGTGAATGATTTACGTGGGTAGTCTTTAAGCACTCCAGCTTTGTCCGTGGAGTTTGCTTATTGTAATGTTCTGAAGCACAGAATGATATGTTATCTGAAATGTCGTGCACTTTTTCTCCTTAAGCAAATTAATTCAAGAGAATAAATGACTATTAGTATAAATATATATTTTGGCACAGATAACAGAAAAATACATCAGATGGCTGAAGGCTGAGGAGGAAATCCACTTTGAATATCACTTGGCTCAGAAACCTAAGATTGTATATATGTCCTTTTTATTTTTATGTCACAGTATATTCTGGAGCCGTACACTGAGTCTCTTGGCAGTAATGACCCTCTGTCAGTAGATAAAAAGGTTCCCTACATTCAAGTGAGTGCAGTCATTTAGTTCATTCATGTGACTGCTTTCAGGGAGTGAAGTGGGTTCCTCCCAGAACACGTTATGTGTGTGCTTGCTCCAAAACCTGAGGTCGCTTGTGAGTGTTCATGGAAATTAAAATCTGTCCCCCTTCTTCTCTGCCCCTCCACTTCCCTTCTCCTCCACCCCTTTCCTCCACTTTCCCCTTCTTCCTCCCCTTCCCTCTCTCTTCTCAAAAACCCCTTTCTCTTCTCCCTTTTCTTCCCCCTGTTCCTCCCCTCTCTCTCTCCTCTCTCCTCCTTTCCCCTTCCCTTCACTCAGGCTGTCTCTTTGTTTCTTTTCATTTTCCTTTTTCCTGTGTCTGCCTCTGTCTCCTGTTCTTCCTGTCTCCCCCCCCTCCCCATCTTTCATCTGGAAGTGGCTCTCACCTCACAGAGGAGCCTCCTTTGCTGTGTCTGCTCTGCCCAGAGCTTTCTGTTCCTCACACTTCCCTAGCCTCTGGTAGGGCCATGGGTTTCTGACAAGAAGATTCAAAATCTTAGGAACCCATGACCATACTTCTAGAAGGTACCACTAAGGCTTCCAGAGGTCTGTGCTAAGGGGGTTGCGGAGAGGTAACCCCAAGTGAATGGCCTGAAAATGGATTCTTGTTTAGGTTGGAACACGTCTGCTCCAGGCTGCGAGGAGTGGTGGAGGCTTGGCTTCTGTCCTTTCTGGGCAAGGCTGGGGACAGGCTGGGGACAGGCCTGTGGCTCCAGGCTCCCAGGGGGCCTTTCCGCAGGCCCTTTGCCTTGCTTATCCAGGGGCCTTGTTTTCCTAAATCTGCACCTCAGTAGTTACTATATGGAAAATAAGAGCAAAACAAACCACACAATGAAAAGTTCTGTGGGCAAATATGTTTGGGACGGAATATTAAATAAAAACTCTCAGATATGTTTCTGGATTGAGTGCCTTTTCTGGGCCAGGCCCCATAGGCCTTGTTTTCTGACATGCTCACTTTGCTTCTTAAGCTGTCCATGGGGATGGAAATTTTCTTGGGTATTCTTTCTAACACGACCGCACTCCCTGCCCTTGACCATGCACCATTGTGTTCTCCTTGCGGTGTTCTTAGTCTGAGATCAAATTGCTTGTCTTTCCCTGTAGACTCCCAGAAAGGCTGCTGCATGGTCTTTTCTCATCTCACTGTTGCAAAGGGAGGTGACACGTGCTGATGCATTTAAGGGATGGTTCCTGGCACAGAGCAAATGTCAGAGGAGCGTTGGCTCTTATGATGTACCCTGATTTCCACATGTTCGTTGCTTTCTATTGCAAAAGGACTTTAGCTCAATTAGAAAAAACATGGAAAAATATGAAAATGCCTTTTAATATCTCCACCCAGGCATAACTTAACGTTTCATTGTAAATCCTTCCAGACATTTTTATGCAAATAAAAATTAAAAACCTAATTCCACTCATACCATAAATACTGTTTCATGACTGGCTTGTCTCACATTACTAAATAGTGTGCACATTTTCCTGTCTTGTTAAATATGCTTCCGTAACATAGTTTTAAATGTGGAATAACATTCCATGATATGGACGTACCACAGTTTAGCTTACTAGTTACTGTTATTTAACTTGTTTAATCCTTGTCAGTAAATCTTCACTCAGGTTCCTGTACTTAGAATAAAGTCCTGGATTGTCGGGGCCAAAGGTATACTCAGTTTAAAGACTGATACAATTTAAAGTGGTGACTTTGCCTCAAGAGTAGTTAATGAATTTATATTTTCACCAGCGTTGAAAATGCCTTTTTCCATGGATTGGTCTATATAATAACATGTACTTTTGGGGATGCCGATGGTGGTGATGATGATGGTGACTGTGAAAGCCTGGAACAAGACCTGCGCACAGTCGACTCGGAATGAGCACTTGGTGAATGAATGACATGGTCTTTGATTGCACTTCTTGCTATCGATGACTTTGAGATAGGCATGACTCGGTGGATAAAGTCACCCTCTCTGGGAGACCTCCCCTCTCTTTCCCTTGGCCTGTTCCAATTGTACATTTTATTTGAGGTCCCTTATCCAACCTTCCTCTTCCATCAGGCCTTCTTTGTGTGTGGCAGCCCATGGAGACCTCTTCCACCTGTAGCATCCTGTAGCTTTTGTTTCTAACACTGTTTACACAACATTATATAGTCACACCAATGTCTTTTTGTAAGCTGCTGCAGCACAGGGATGATGGGAAAAAATATTACATGTAAAAAAGAATTGAGGGAAGCCATTGCCTGTTTAATAGTTGCTGTTGCGGCACTTCCGCTTCTGTCCCAGTGAGAGAGACATGAGTGGCCAGGCGCAGCCGCAGCAGCACAGCAGCACGGAGGAGCCAGATACAAAGAGAGGGGCTCTTTGCGGGGTTGGGGTTTTGCTATGTCGGATGATGATTCGAGGGCCAGCACCAGCTCCTCCTCATCTTCGTCCTCCAACCAGCAAACCGAGAAAGAAACAAACACCCCCAAGAAGAAGGAGAGTAAAGTCAGCATGAGCAAAAACTCCAAACTCTCCACCAGCGCCAAGAGGATCAGAAGGAACTGGCAGATATCACGTTTGACCCTCCACCTAACTGCAGTGCTGGTCCCAAAGGTGATAACATCTATGAATAGAGATCAGCCATTCTAGGGCTGCCAGGATCCGTATATGAGGGTGATGTATTCTTCCATAATATCACATTTACACCAGAATATCCCTTCAAGCCTCCAAATGTTACATTTCGGACAAGAATCTATCACTGTAATATTAACAGTGAAGGAGTTATTTGCTTGGACATGTTGAAAGATAATTGGAGTCCAGCACTAACCATTTCTAAAGTCTTCCTTTCTATCTGCTCACTTCTTACAAACTGTAATCCTGCCGACCCCTGGTGGGAAGTATTGCCACTCAGTATATGACCAACAGAGCAGAACATGACAGACTGGCCAGACAGTGGACCAAAAGATACGCTATGTAAATTGGGTTTTCACAATTCTTACATTATTTGTCTGTCACAGAGAGAGCTGCTTATGATTTTGAAGGGGTGGAGGAGGGTGGGAATTGGTAAAGAGCAGGGTATTTCTATAACAGATATTATTCAGTCTTATTTCCTAAGATTTTGTTGTAACTTAAGGTATCTTGCTACAGTAGACAGAATTGGTAATAGCAACATTTTAAATTGTCATTAGTTCTGCAATATTAGCTGAAATGTAGTACAGAGAAGAGTAGACATTTGGGTTCAGGTGCTTGTGGTCTGTAAATTGAAGACAGCTTAATTTTGTACAGGTAACACACATGGCCATTTATGTGAAGGCCTTCCAAGACTACATCCTTTTTAGTTTAAAAAATTGGAACTTGTTTTCCCTTCTTGGAAGGGAACATTGATATTCAACAGTTTTTAGAGATTGTCATCTCATATATATATATATATAAAATGGGCATGTGGCTATAAGACACCATATAGGAAATTAGTAGTTATGTATTTTATTTTATATGCCAATCTAGTTTATTGTGAAAAGATTAGAGGTATGAATCAGGACTCGTGAAAACCTGTAGTGAAATACCTGAAGCAGTTAACTGTAAGACGTGACTAGGAGTTGCTCAGTGGATTGGTTACATGTTGTGGACTACTTAAGTCTGCATTTGTTACTGTGCTAATAAAAATATTAAAACAAAACAAAACAAAAAGAATCGATGTCAAAACTAAAATGCAAAAGTCTGTGTTTCCCCGCTTCCACCCTAATATCCCACTTCCATCCCCAGAGGT